TCAACTCAAGGAAAATGTCAAGTGCATTGCTGTTGTCTACAGGTGCTATCGCTTAAGATGTTCAGGGAGCACTTAGAGTTGTTAAGTAAATGCTAAGGGAGCTAAGCTTAAATTACAGAAAAGGTCTACCTCAGGCTTAGCTTAAATTATCCGTATCTCTGTCTCTATCTAATTAAAGAGGTTAGTCCAAAGATAAACCCAACATCATTCTCCGTAAAAATTTTTTTTTTTCAGTATGAAAGAGGTTTAGATCATTTTCCGTAAAAATGTTTTTTTTTTCAATATGAAAGAGGTTTAGATAATGTAATGATTACTTATGTTGCTTTATACGGTAGGCACGAGTTTAACATGATTTGGCTTGTGAAACTTGTCGGCGTAGCGAAACATCGGACAGATATGGCGAGTAAAATGCGTCTAGTTTTCCCGCATACTGCGCGTGCGCATTGCGTAGGGCTATGGCATAAGGCATAGCCCTGCCCTAGGCCTTACCACTCCTAAAGTTCCAGTGTGACAGCTTTTTTGACGTGTCTATACTTGATTTGTTAAGCGCAGTTGTATCTACAAAACATTTAACTAACTACAAATGTATTATTCTGTGCTTTTTTTTAATTCACAATTTTTAAAAAATATGTATTTGTGTTTCTCAGAATCGGATTGGGAGCTGAAAATTAAAGGTTATAGCGAGCCATGTTGAGGCAAAAGATTGGCTTATATTCCAGATAGAATCTTTTATGGTTTCTAAAAAATAAAATAAATATTAGGCGTCGTGAACATTCTATGAATATCCTTTAAATAAACGCTTATACATTTTGGGCTCACATATTGCTCGATACGACGCACGCACGCGTCGGCGTTCGCAAATATATTGACCAAACAATACATGTAATGTATAGGAAATATCTACTTGCGTTATATATTCTTTGTAAATAATAATGTAAAGGTCATATAATTTGTTAAATAAATAAAAGGATGATCGTGGGATTAGCAAACAGTGAGCGTAACATGGGGCATGAATGAAATATTTGAGTTTTTTTAATGTCTTAAAATGAACGCGGATATTACTTAACTTACAGCATAATATATAAAATTTATATTATCCTTGCCTATTATGATGGTTTGAATTAACGGTACCTATGTGATTTGTAACTTTTATATGAAATTTTACTGGCAGCTTCATTAAAAAAATATATCGAAGACATCTACAAACTATCAAGTTATAATCTATGGTTATTTAAGTATATGAATATATAGAAACTTAGGGCCTGTCCCACCAAATTGTAAATTGTCTGATAACCATCGAAATATCGGATTTCGTCCCCTTTTCTGAAAGTGTCGTCATTTGTAAGCTATCCAAGCTTCTATCAGCCAGTGGTGGGACCCTTTAGGCTCTAAGCATGCACCTTAAAATAGTGTAATTAGAGCTATTTGTTTCTCGGTTAATAATTGTGATTCGGTGAGTTCAACGGACTGACTTATCCTTGTATTTACTCTCCACTTTCATCACGCATGCAATGAGGCTGTTGACGTGAGGTGAATGAAGTTTGAGTTAAAAACTTGAGACTTATCAACAAATACCAAATAGACTTCGCAACTAAGAGACTGTTTTAAATGAATACTTTTTTATAACCAAAACAGTGGACAACGGTTTTAAACTGAGTAAATAAGTAATTCGTTCACTTTCCTTGAATAAGAGATAATTTAACTTTCGTAAAATACTTTACTTCACAAGAACATATGATCGTGACGTGACCGTTGGCAAGACCGTGCAGAATTATATCATTTAGCAACATCCATGAGTGTTTTGGTACTTTCTCTTTTATATTTTCGTCGAGCTATATCGTCTCATGTTACGTTAACGGCCATTCCTTTTTGATAAACGTTTAAAACAGCTCGCACTTGACACCTCTCTCTATAGCTTGTCTGTGGTTTGCAAAATGCGCGCGCTAAATGTCAAATGTCACATAACCATTCGGTTATACGTAAAAATAATGCAAAGTTTGTGTCATAAATTGTATTGCATACTAGTAAATTCACTTATTCAATTTACTAGGAAATATCACCGGTCTCTATAATGTTACAATATGACAGATTGTAACAATAAAGTGGCAATTTAATACGGCTTTCAGATTACGTGGGAAATGGACGGGCGGCCGGAAATGAAAGAGAACGTCTTAGATAAGCGAGATATCAACAGAGTTAGGAAGTAAGGACTCATAATCAAGCATTAGAGAAATCGTCCGATTGCATTACTACCTATTGTAAAATGGTTTGCTATTTTACGTAAATCCATGTGCCACTCAATTCTTGTGAATTGGATTTTGAGTTATACTCTCAGATATTATTGAAAGTAAAATTATTTATAATTTGAAGAATTATTTTTAAATGTTAGTTAAATCTCACAGGCAATCCATAATTATTTAATAACCATTTCGTTTTATTTAAACAAGTAAATTATTATATCGCAATTTATATAACTTGAATAGAAATTGAGATTTTAAACAGATATTATTAATTTATCGTTTGAATATGAATTAGGCAAATGCAGTTGGTTGGCAACGATCTGATAGTTTGGTCTAGATGGCAGCACATGCGCGAAGCGTTATATAACCTCAAACCTCACCTGTTGCGGACGAAGATGGACATTGGGACGTTGACGAAATGTTAGTAGAAATTGTACGAGTACTTCAAGGTCGTCATGGCGTAAGTCTGCATGGGTGTACTGACAATTGGGACATCTCAGTGCACTAATGCTAATGGAATTCAATGTTTATGAATACTAAGGAATGTAAAACAATAACGTAGATTCACAAACTAATAGACAACATAGGATTTCTCATGTAGTTAGTCAGAGAATAGACAGGAAAATTCTACTGATTGTGTAAACAGGGAAATAGATGCGTCCATCATTTTTTAAGCAAACTAAAATTAAACATATGCTAGTCCAAGGTATAATTTAAGGAAAAATTAGTAAATATGATTTTGAACTATTATTTTTTAAAAATAATGCCGATAAGCTAAAATAAAGATTGAAGAGACGAATAAAGTGCGTGCAATCATTCCATTTCATGCGCAATACAAATGATTGCGAGACAATTTTATTATTTGTATTGTATGGTAATTAGTGAACTTATACGATCTTAATACTTCTTTTATATTTACGCAATAATTTAAATTTCTTTTTGGTATTCAAAGTAAATTAATAAAAGATAAAATAAATATCTAATATTTTAAATAGTATTCTATTTTCTATTTTAAAAGCTGTATATTTATTGTTATATTATATAATTAACATAATTATTTGCCATTTTGCATACGATTATCGTTAACAAAGTGCGTCCGAAAACAAGTATAACTTTCTAATTATTGAAGGCGACGCGGAAAGCAAATAAGGCAGTCAGGTTTCACAACAAATGGTTTGTGTTTAACACATGTTACGACTTTGAAATATATTGACAAATGTTGGCCAAACAGCATCATATGAACGTGTGTAAAAAACTGCTGTTGATGTTTTTGGTTGAACTATTTGTCAAGAATAACTGTTAAATAAAATTAGCAAAGCCGCGTTCGAGTTTTGACGCGTAAAGTGCAAACATAGTTTATTATGATTGTGAGGGGAAACATCTATAAGGAATTTAAGGTTAGAAAAGCGTAATCCGCGCTCGCTGCTTGAAGGACACTAAGTGTAGAGGTTTGTAAATACCGCAAAAGCGTTCCACAACGCTTAAATTCAGAACAAAATGAAGATCCCTAAAAAGGTTGATAAGACAATTAATTGAAGGTGCTATCCAACTTTTAATCTCAGAGGATAAAAGCAAAACAAAACACAACGTAGTGTTCTAAAGCCCGCTACATACGCAAAATCTGAACAGTATGATTTTTCAGATAGAAATGTCAGATAAAACAGCGTGTACGGGTTTTACAGATATCCTACAAATCTGAATTCATTTGTAAGTCCTACATTTACGTTATAATACCACTCGATATGATCTCAGACAGAATAACAGCTAGTTCCACTTAACCAATCTCCTTCATAATACGGTTTGCCCGACAATTTAAATAACACACTATTAGTAAGCGGTCATTCACACGGAAAGTTTATGTTACATTTATTATTATGAATAAAACACAATATTGAACAACTAACTTTAAGATTATAATAAACATCGACGTCCATCGGAAGTGATTATACATGTCATAACATATGTATAATCTATTTTATTTCCTTATTCCTAGAGACTTATCTACGAGTACATCTCAATAAATTGTGTCAAGAAAGTAAGACAAGAGAAAGTTATGTATAAATCTAGTTTTTTTATTTTTTCAGGAAATTAAAGCTTACATTTTCTTCCCATTTTCATCGTGTTGTATCTTGTTATGTATTTTTAAACTATTACATAACAAGAATAAATTTAGATAAATTTATTTTAAATAAATTACAATTAGTTATTAATATAAGAGAAACGTTTACTAAGCAAAATAGATTGTCCGATTATTCAACAAACGCGACCCAGTTGAAAAGTTTCAAGTTGGCGTTACGCAACTTAATGGGGGCCGACTTCATTAACTTAAGCTATGTTGTATACGGAAACGAAGTGCGGTATGTTCATTATTAAGAAAAGAGACAAAATACTTTAGAAAACGAGAGTAGGTATGTTAAATTCTCACAGTAATTAAGGAAGTTAAAATTTGCTGAAAATAAGATCAATTTATTTAGTTACTTATTGTTTTACGCAACTTAAACTTATGGTAGAAAATACTAACATGCCACATTCAAAGTATAAAACCATAGAGCACTCATATTTTTAATACTACGGTCCGAAAAACTTTCAGACTCACTTGCGTTGCGCTTCGAGCTTTTCACCGCTAAAAATACTTAATAATTTGATAGAAATGTTAATTGAACACAACTACCTATAAGTAAAATAAGTTTAAACCACTGTATCAAATTCGCATAAAAAATCTTGAAATTCAAAATACTTGTTTGTTAATAAATAACTCACTCTTCAAAGCCCAGAGTTTCTTCATCAGCAAGCCGTTGACGTACTGCTGTAGTTCCTCCCGGCACTCTCCCTGCACCGCGTGCTGCAGCTGGCTCCACTGGCTCACCAGGATCTCCGCGTCCACTATCCTCAGCATGTTCTCAATCCCCATGAACTCCGTGTAGTTCGTCGTCTCCGCGCTCAGGCTGCTTAGCTGCAACTTCGATTCGTTCAATGTGTTTCGTATCGACTCCGTTAATTTAGATAACACATCTTTATTGGGTTTCGATGTCGTCTTGTCCATTTGTTTGGATTTCACGATATGCTGCACGTTGTGAGCCTTCTCCGTGCTGGAGATTCGTCTCTCCTGCTCCACGTCGCCGAAAGCCTCTGCGAAAGTGAGACCATCCTCATCCGCGAACACGTCCAAATTTTCCTCGCGCGCTTTATGATTTTTATTTCCATTGTGGGATACAGATCCTACGAGGTCTGAGTTGAGGCTATCATGCTCTACGCCGCCCGCTGCGGACGCCTGTTTAATGTTTTGGAAGGCATCGATGAGCCCACTCCGGAGCTTCTCCTCACGGGCATTTTCTTTGCTTGCACTCGAATTTAATTCAGCAGTCAAAACGCAGCTGGCACACAATAAAATCACAAGGAAAGACATTTTCGAAAAAAAAAATACAAAATATTTTTTTTAATTCACACACTCATGGCTCGTCACTTATTGAGTTCGTATTTGTCGTGGGTTAAGGTGCGCGCGCGGCGACACGGCGGGCCCGACTGGCGCGGCGTTGGCCGTGCTGACATAACGCCGTTACGACGTCGTAGACTTTCACTGTCGGCTGCGGGCATGGGGCACCGGGCACTGGGCAAGGTAGAGCAGCCCAGCACAGCACGGCAGGTGGGCCGCATCCTTGTAGGGCAGCCGAATGCGCGCTCCACTTCTCTTGTTGTTAAGTAACTCCTCGACTATGTTATTATAGTTATTTGATTATTATTCGGCGCAACATACACACGACCTTGCTGTTGTTACAACAGTCTCCAAAATATTACGCATTAAGTACATTGTGTTACTAAATAGATCTTTGCGTTGCTGTACAATATTGTAGAGGCATTCCAGCTTCAAAGGTTTCGATCAAAATAAATTTATTGTGACTGCAGAACTATTTGTAAAATATATTTTAATAAACTATTTAACAATATACGAGTGTCTTATATAGTTTTCTCTTTATTTCTGTAGAATATTTGATAAGTTATACACGTCACGTATAATACTTATAAGGGATTAGTATCATAAACATAACATAAGCGGATTTAAATTTAAAATTTCGTTGGTGCATAACTTTCCCGCGTTGCGTTGGTTTCGGATTATGTAATAGGTAATTTTCGAATTGTCATTTATTATTGGATTAAATTATTATTCGTCATAAATTCTTTTTTTCATTGTTCTTTTTTGTGCCAGTAATTAAGTATAAACGTCATAATGTTATAGTCAGTTAGATAACAGCGGCAGGTAGTGGCGGGGTCAAATGTTACGAGCCGACACTTTCCCTCCACAGAGGGGGTCGCTTCCATCGCGGATAAAACGCGGCCATGTGTCAAATCTTAAGTCACTTTAGTCCACCAAACAAAAGACATCAACGATATAAATTACATACAAGTTTAAGATATCGTAAGTTTTATTATTAAAATGAATATGGAGACCAGAATACCCTTGACCTCGATTCTTAAATAATGAATACTACAATTATAATAGCGCCCTTTAACTACTTTTTGTCATAAATGTCTAACTGTTTTCCTCAACCCCAGTGATTAAAATGTTTCCTCATCGTAATTTCTTCATTTGACGTAAATCTGTTCAGACCAATGGAACCTTTTCACTAACTCATAATAACTGAGATAAAATGGATAAAATGGATGGATGGAAGTTTGTTAGAGTTTGTGGCCTAAACGGCTGAACGGATTTCGATGAAATTTGGCATAAATTTAGAGGGTAGTCTGGAAGAACATATAGGCTATTCAGTTTTTTTTTCATTCCCACGCGAACCGAGTCGCGAGCGAAAGCTAGTGTTTACCTAAAGTAAACCCGCACAAATGCTACAAAACAAGATTTATTTGTTAGAAAGTATGTATTTTAAATTTAATTACTTCAACTTTCGTTCGTCCGCACATTTAGTACGCCCCGCACGTCTTGCAGCGACATCTCTTGTCTTTGACCCACATTATGTTTCCTGTTTATTAAGACGAATAATAAAAGCTATTTTCCGGTCAATTATTCATTTTCCAATTCTATAGAAATTGTTTAGAGGTTGCATTGTAATGAACACAAAGTACAAGGTAAGATGAAGTCGTAACATCGCATTACGAGAAGGTTTTTAACATAGATATCTTGGTTTCTTAAACCACAAGTTATAGTTCGTTCAAATCATTGTTTATGACTAGATTTGGACTTATAATGATCTGAAATAGGAACATATGTAAAAGTTACTTTAATTAGTAACGATTATTTTGTTGTACTGTAAGAAATATTTATTCATTATAACATACAAAACAACATTAAAAGCTATTAACTAATTCTATTGTTTCTATTATTTTGAAATTTGCCTTCTTTTGTTTGACAACCAAAAAATTCAGATAAAAAATAGCTTTTACGCATATATAACACAGAATATCTCAACCAGGGTAAGAAGTGTCGAAGGTATTTTTTTAGATCGAAATTATTGAGACAGAAATGGTGAAATTGTCTTTAAAGTGGGCGACGTATTGTTTAAAAGTGTGTCGCTGGCTGTCAATAATATGACAGTTTTTATTTGTTTCTATTCTATGTAAATTAACCATGTATAGTTAATGTATGGCAAAGAAACGCGGAAGAGCCGATGCGTGTGAATATGGCTTTATCTCGACCGACAGAAAGTGACACAATGAGACAATGCGAAATCCCTTGCGAAACCGCGACAAGCTATTATTAATTGCTGTTACCATGCGATGCGGAAAAAATGTGGACAATTTTAATTACTTTCAGATCGTAGACTGAAGTTCATTTTCAATTTTTGTATTCTTATTAATCTTTTCTCGTATCCTCCTAGCCATATAATATATGTTAAAATGGACCATGGAAAGTGTCTCGTTTTAAAAGTGCTACCGTACGAACATGGGAGCATTTGTTCTATTTCAACATTTTCTTAACGCTCGTTATAAAACCGCACGTACGAATGAAGCTTATGTAATTAAAAAAATAAACTAACTTAATTCCTCAATGCTTACGTGCTATGTCTATATGTTTTAGAACAATCTCGGTAAGACAAAACTCATGGTAACCATTTATTATCTATGCACTGGCACACGCTTCGGCTTACATAATAGCTTATCTGTGTCAAACCTGGGAGCACACGCGACTCCGCACCGCCGGCATTATTGATACATACCAGCCTTCTTGTAATAAACAAATCATCGTAAAGGTCTTTGTGAGTTTTCATTGCAGTAAGACATTAAAAAACAGCTCTGAGGGATGGTGTTTCTCCGCGCTAAAAACCTACGATAAAAATTGTGTGACATTTTTCTTCTTTGCAAAGTACTAATATAACTTTAAACTGTATAATTTTAGTTTTGTCTACATATTCACAGTTCTATTTGAACAGTTTGTGTCACAACTAAGCGTATGTAGCGAGCTTAACATATAATTAGTACAAAGTTATTACTACAGGGAAACTATTAAAGTTCATTGTAAAATTTATGTAATTTATATGCAGTCATTTTTGTATATGACAACAAAAATATATTCACTTCCTTAATTTTTTAATACCACATTGACCAAACCTTTTAATTTTTAATTATTTATCAAACATTGCTTGGACATTTCTAATATTTATTTAACCACAAGGTCGAAGCGATTTGGTTATTTGATAAGTATAAATATTGCTGAACGGCGAAACGCTTAGAGATATCAAGTTCACTTAAAAATGAATTGACGTTAAGGCCAGCTTAATATATGATTAAACAACCTTTAAAAAAGAAGGTACAATTCAAAGTAAATTATTAATTAAACTCGCTGCCGCCTGCGACTCCGTCCGTGTAATTAAATTAGAGTAGCCAATGTGTTCATCCAAACTATGTTCTACATCTATGCCAAATTTCATCGAGATCCTTTGTGACGTTTTGGAAACTCTAACAAACATCCATCCACCTATCTAAACTTTCGCATTTACAATTTTAGTAAGACAGAATATTTTGTAACTTATACTTACTTTTTTAAATCTAGATAAATCATGCATTTTAACATAAACTTTTATGTGCGAAATTGCGGTAAGTACTGTTTATAATTGTTGAAGTAAAATTGCTAAAATTCTTGTCGACCTTGTCTCACATGAGAACGAGCAATACCCTTCCTTATTATTTACTAAATTCAACTGTCTACTATGAAAATGTATTTTTTTTTTAGGATACAAACATTAAAGGGGGTTAAAACAGAAATATTTCAGACCTTCTGTTAATAGCAAAAATATAGTTTACGTAGTTTTACATTACATAGTTTTTACGTGGTTTTACATAGTTTGTTAAAAGAGTTTTCTAAAAACTCATTCAAATTAAAAAAATGCGAAAGTTTTGCCCTAAGATTACTTATGGTGTTAAAATCTTACAGCCACACTTACAGTAATTAGTAACTTGTATTTAACTTGCTTATATCCAAGTTAAATATTATTAACGAGAAAGTGGAATTTGCTATCAACTAACACTTATATGTGACCATTGAATGTGCGGAAATACAAGAGGTATCAATAACTATTCAGGAAGAAAATATCTCTGGCCTGGCTAAAGTCAACACTTGCTCTCAATAAATTCGAAGAAAATATTAACTAACTAACATTATCTAGTTGTCTAAATAATTTCTAGTCTACAAAATCAGTTACAACTTAGCTGTTTTAAGTTATTTTAGTCAATAAAAACAATTCTGTCTCTACTAATATGATCATATGATTTGTATTTTTGGATTTTTATGTATATTAGAATATTTTAAAAACTACTTGGCTTATGTAAAAATTCTCGCACCATAAAACTGTGATATTAGTAACATAGGCTAAATTTTTTTCTTTTTATTCACGCGGACGATGTCGCGGGCAACAGCTAGTATCCAATATTTTTGTTTTTAGCTTAATTCTCGGGTAATTTTTGTCTTGGTAGCGGGTGCGGTGGCGTGAAACATGATGTAACACTGTTCTCGATTTCTTCGCCGCAAGATTAAGAAAGACCTTCCCCCCGCTCTGCACCGCCTGCCCCCCGTACCCTAGGCGCTCGCACGCTCTGGTTTCTGATGCCAAATACCTCTATCGATCTACCATAGAGATTTGAAACATTTTATTTTATTATTTATTAAGAATAAAGTAATTTTACAAAGCACACGTATATTTAACGATCTTATTTCTTTACTAGTTACCTTTTGTAGTTTGTTTATTTACCATAAGCAATTTAAGCACAAAGTTACAAAGGAATATTGCAATTTTTCATCACGTCTGAAGTTATGAAGCAATGTATTTTTAAGTTTTGTGTCGAAAGATCACGCTAGTCCGTAAGGGTGCGGTTACACAAGACACTATAGCTAACTGCAAGTCATCGTTATCCAACACCTAGCAAATGATATGCGTGTGGAAAGCGGATTCGCGAATTCACTTATCTAATAACGAATTGCGATATAGTTGACCGTGTCTTTGACATGATACATATGTAACAGACCCGGTCTCTTGACCTAGTGCCAAGGCCTCATAAATCTCTGGAAAATTTAGTATTAATTTGATATTGCTATCAACTAGAGGTTACTATTGGCCTAAGTGTTGGTGCTACGCGAACTGGTTGTTAGAATGTTGAAATAAAATCGTTTCAACATTTCCAGAGAAAGGAGGAAAACTTTGAATACTCGCTATTTTTTCTGCTACATGTAGAGCGTCCCTTATTTTAATTACTGGATGCTGAATGTGTTTTAACTGCCACCATCTCAGCGGATTGTTTTCGTATTTCGTTTGTACACCACGACACAGTAATTTGGAGAAAGCATCTTAATACACGAAAGAAACCTTTTAAATAATGTCTTATATGATCTACTGTTCAAAAAGCTACTAAAAGTTTCATAATGAACTTTATTCCGGATTGTATTTCTTAATACTTCGTTTCTAGGAAAAAATTTAAATGTCATTAGGAGCATACGGTTATATCGATGACTTTGCAATTTTACAATCTCAAGACGGGTATTTGAGCGAGGCAAAACCCAAATTCCGCTTTCGTGAATATTTCGCAACACGCCCCGCGTTGCACCAGCCGTAAGCAGTGAGAGGGTCGCTCATTAATGTTTGTTTTGAGGAAATCTTTTAACAAACGAACAAATATTTAAACGACTCATTTCCCAACATAAGATATTTTAAAACAATAACTAATTGTTTATTGAGGTCAAATATTTATGTTGGAGAGTAAGCATGTAAATGTGAAATAACTTTTTTTACCTAATACCCCCGAATTGAATAGAATTGACGATTGCAGGTTTAACTTGACTTGACGGACTTTACCTTTCTCCTGACACGATAAACAGTCTTCTGGGGAGTCCCTTAAAGATGTTTATTAAGACAATCTGAAGCAAAAAAGGAATTGTGCAAATCACAAATGGTTTTACTCGTTGGATTTACTGCATGCTATATTGCTGAAAAAAATTGTCAGGCGTTAACGCGTAGAATAGAAAGAGTAAAGCACAAATTATGTAAGATAGAAAAATAATATTACAAATTGTTTCAGAAAATATACAATTGACGAATTTCAGTTTCACTTACAGAGACACCTATTTTATCTACAAATATAATCTGTGTTTATGACAGTCGTTTGATGTAAAAAAAAAAATCAAATGTCAGTTGTCAAAATTATAAATAATTTCCGCCAATTTGCGCGGGCAAAATATTTTATCAAAACCACGATTAACCAAAACTTTAATCAATAATTGTATAACAATAAAAGTCAATTGCAGAATATATTTTGTTGTAAACATTCAAAAGAAAAACAAAATCGTCGAGACGTCACATCGCAAACATATTAACTCACTAAATATTATTGATTTTTTGCTTTAGTTGAATATTTTGCCCCTATTATACTTTAAAGATTTTATAAGCAAGCAGTGTAGTGTAAGGAGCTGGTATATCTTTGTTTATGTTCAGTTTTTGTTCATATATCGTGTGTTTATTGTCAAAATAAATGGCTAAGCAAATAGCTGAAGTGGAAATCCATGCGACGGATACAGACAGCCGGGTAGAAGATGAGAACCTGGATGTCAGTGTGGACCTTATTGACGACAACCTTTATTTGGGCAAGTATTTAGCGAGATAATATTTTTAATTATTAATCGCCAACAAAAAAATACCTGTAGAAAATTAAACAGTACAGTATTGAATTCAAATTTGGTTCAAAATTCAAATCTTTATAGGTAATTTGGCTTGTGCTCGAGATGAGAAATCCTTACAGAAGCTTCAGATCTCTCACATCCTCACTATAGACCTGGTGCCACTGCCCAGGTCTATACTGGACAGACTTAATCTCACATTTAAGTTCATTAAACGTAAGTTATATACATATAATCAATTTAATTATAGGGACACAGAAAAGGAGATAAGTTCTTTTCCCTGTAAATGAAAGGCGACATATCTACAGTTGTGGATGTTGGTGGTTGATTCACTTTTTTGGTGAACTCAGGTGGTCGCTAGCTTGTTAACCATATTGTAATTTAAAAAATAATAATATTGAAAAAACTGCTAACATTGGTAATATTTAGTAAGCATTTTTTTGTTGTGATAACCATTTCTTGGCTATTTTATTTTGATACTCAGAATAGACTAAATGGCACCCGCCTTTGTATTGTCCTTGTAATAAAAATGTATTTACCATTTTACAGTAGCTGATGTACCCAAAGAAGATCTCATCAGTCAACTACCAGAGACAAATGATTTTATAAAACAAGCCATAACTAATGGAGGCAATGTTTTAGTCCATTGGTGAGCATTTACATTTGTATTACAAACATTAAAAAAATATTTTGCAATACCATAATATACAGCTTTGAATAGTGGACAAGTTATTTTAAACAGATAATGGATATAGTTAATTCCAGATCTAGTATATTAGACAATTACTGTCAATATAATTGTATAAGAAATCTATATTTTTGTTAAAATAGTTTTTTGCTTGCATTTATTAACCTTGGCATATGGTCGATATATCTAAAAATAATATTCAATATAATTGTTTGTATTAAAATTTTCGTTTTTTCAGTTATTTCGGTGTATCAAGATCAGCCGCAGTTGTGATTGCATATATAATGGAGAAATACGGCTTGTGCTATGAAGATGCCTTCACACTTGTGAAGAGTAAGCGAAGGTTTATCGGACCCAATGTTGGTTTTGTGGCGCAACTCAAATTGTTTGGACATATGGGATATAGAATTAATAGAGATGATCCACGCTTTAAGCAGTTCAGGTTGAAAATGGCAGGACAGAAATTAAAACAAGGTAAATGTTATGAATACTCTTAATAATTGATAATTTATCTCAGTGTAAAAACTGTAAGACTTAGGGCCTCATCATTCATCCACTTGCCCTTATCCCTTATGGAGGGTCGGCACAGTAACTAAGACAGTTATCTAAGACTTATGGTCTGTCCCACCAAATTGTAAATTGTCAGATAATCAAATGTGGAAAATATGTGATGGAAATATCGGACTTTGTTTCCTTACAGTGCTATAATTTTTAAGCTATCTGAGCCTCTACCTGTCAGTGGCGGGATAGGTCCTTAGTCTCTTAAGAAGCAAGTAAACATTTACCTCATATACTGGCAACACACCTGTAGTTTCTCGCATATTACAGATTTCCATAGAGGTAGTTGATCAGTTAATCATCTTGGAGTCGCTCGTTTTCCCCCTTATTAAATTAAAAAACGCCAAGAACTTGCTGTTAATACTCGCACTTGCTTTGATCCAACATGGTTGACCATCAAAATTAAAAGGAAACTCATTTCCACTCAGAAAATAAAATGAAATATATGAATTTAATTTCCAGTGAAAATAATTCCACAACTATTCGCTGACCTTATAAAACCTGACCCTGGGTTGGTCCGAGAGCGACCTGACCCTATAGTATACCGGTGTAAGAAGTGTCGACGTGTGGTGGCCAGTCAGAGCAACATAATACCGCATTTACCCAAGCAAGTGAAAGTAGAACTGGCGAAAAAAGGTATACGACCACCACCTAGTAAGCTGACAGGGTTGAACTGTGCGGAGAATGGACAGTTACTGATAGAGAAACTGAAGAATTTGGCCTGTCAGATCATGGACCAGACGGTGGAGAGTGAAGAGTCCAGCGATTCGAACTGTTCAGCGCAGATGCAGGATGCTGATGAAGGCACCAGTCAGGTAATAATAATCTTGTTGCATTCATCTATCAAATAGTTCATGATTTTTAAGCAATAGTAACAAAGTGTTAGTTTTCCATAGATCTACATATAATGAGATGCATCGATCTAAAGAGCCTCTAACAGTCGAATACTGAAACGAAACTTAAACCATTAGCTTTGTAAATTCCGCTTACAATCTCACAGGCATCAACATTTTTAAAGAATGCAACATGGCCTTAATATTTAAGACGCTATTACTTATTTAAATAAAAGTTCAATATTCTTCTGTTAGTGTTTTTTCTTATAAATTGTATGCTAAGGTCTCGGACACAAAACTTGTGAGGAATGGAGTACAGTGGGCTAAAACCTCAGCTAATATAGACATTTTCACCTAATGCTTTGAATGTCTATGTAAGTCGAGATTTTAGCCCACTGTACCTCGTTCCGAGATAGATAGTTTTGTATCCCGTCTTCACGCACTGTCAGGTGCTGGACGGTTACACGGAGGGCAACATGGTGGACAGCAGTATCACGTGTCGCGGGGACGAGCGCAGCTGCCGGCTGGTGTGGTTCGTGGAGCCGATGTCGTGGATGCGCGGCGTGGGCAGCGAGCCGCACGGCAAGCTGCACTGCCCCAAGTGCCACAACAAGATCGGCAGCTTCAGCTGGATCATGGGTACACTACACAGCGCCGCGATACACATAAGGCCCTTTGTACACAACGCGATACATCGCCTACTGTCGTCATAGCGACTTTAGTCGCTAAGCAACTTTCGCAATACAATTTCAGAGTTACGTACGTTGTGGACATTTTATTCTTTCGTCACTAATATTAATCGTTAAAAAGCAAGCAGTTAAAATCAATGGCTGTTATTGCCAAAGTTGGCATAGGAAATCTAAATATTCTGTGACTCATGAAGAAACAGAGGACTTGTGTCGACGATACCATTTTCTGTATTTAGCTATGCTATACGGTTATTATAGCTTAAAAGTTTTGTGTACAAAGGGCCTAATAAAAATTATCTAATAAAAATAATACTAAAAGAATACAATACTTTTTTAAATTAAATATATTGTTTTCTTTATGTGGTTTTTGTATATTTTCAGGTTGCAAATGTCCGTGCGGTCAGAAAGTGGCTCCAGCATTTTATTTAGTACCTTCGAAAGTGGAGTGGTCCAACATAGTACAAAATGTACAAATCACTGTTTAAAGTCATTTTAAAAGCTTTTTACAGATTTTTCATGGCTTAAAGTCATTGCAACTATGAATTATTTCTAATCATCTTTGTTATAATTCTCGTTGACATGTTAAAAAATAGTTATATTTTAAAATAAATAGGAGTTTCTAATAGATTTGTTACAATTTAATTAATCATGTTTTAAATATCAAATTTAAATTATATACTTGTGTGTTACTTCAATGAATTACTTGAAAATAAACATAGACCGTTGTTAGTTGTTTACACTTAAAACATAAAGGGAGAAATAATAAACATCATTAAATTATCTATTTATTGTTTTCTTTGGTAAAATAAATGATTAAAACAGTTGCCTTTTTTAAAATTTAAAACAGCATATTTTAAAAGACCATTTGAAACTACATAATCATACTAGAAACGGCTGAACAGATTTCGATGAAATTTTGTACAGTTGCAGAGTATAATCTGGAAGAAAATATAGGCTATTTGTTTTTTATTACACGCGGCCGATAGCTGGTTAATTATATATTTCTAGAATTAGGAAAAACAAAAGTAGCCTATCTGTTCTTCAAATTCTCATCGAGATCCGTCCAACCGTTTAGGCTACAAACTTGTAACAGACATCCATCCAAATTTTCGCATTTATATCAGTAACATATCACGCAAAGTTGCGAGCAACAGCTAGTTAATAGACTAGCCCTTAAATGCTAATTTCAGTATAGGTTTTCAGTCTCAAATTAAGGGAAATATAATGAGAAATCTTGGTTTCAATAAAAACTATACTTTATTTGTAGACTTATGGCAACAATGTGCATTTCTGGGCTAGCGCTGCACAGTGGGCAGATGCGGCTGCAGCGGCGTGCCGTCGCGGCGCAGCGGCGGGATGTGGT